TAGTTAGAACAACGTTAGGCTACTAATTAGTCGGGAAACGGACCAACTCTCTAGATTAGAGCGTTCTAAGAGAGTTCCTTAATACCGAAAGCGCTTAAGCATTAATAGTAGTCTTCCGTATAAAAGTTATCGTTAACGGGCACCCGACGAGTGTATTAATAGATTCCGGAGCGAGCGGGAACTTTGCCTCCGAATTATTCGTTAAAAGCCGAGGGATCGCAATCCGAAGCAGAAGAGAAGGAGCGTATAAACTTATAGTAGTAGATAGGTTACCGCTACCTAGTATAGAACGAGAAACGATACCGTTACTACTAGCTATCTAATAGCACTACGAGGAGATTGTCTTAGATGTTACTAATATAGCTAGTTATAATATTGTATTAGGCATACCTTAGTTAAGAAAGCATAACCTAGTCGTAGACTAGAGAAAAGGAGTACTTATATTTAAGGAATGCGACTATATAATCGGCATTCAACCTATATAGCGGTAGCGTTCGTAGGCAGATAAGATTAACAAACGTAGGGCGACTCGTAAGACGTTTACGTCGATAGGAATTACGGAGAACCGTATTCAACCCGGATCGACACTACCGTTAGGTTAGGAGGGTTATAATAATAATTACGGGAAGGATAGAAGTTATACGCTATTAAAGAATAAAACTAGAATCTCGGACCTAGACATTCCTAAAGAGTATAGTAAGTAGAAGCGACTCTTTAAAGAGGAGAGAGGTAAGGCAGCCTTACCTAAATACTAACTATAGGATTATAAGATACACTTATAGCCTAGGAAAGAGCCTCTATAGGGACCCTTATACGCAATGTCTAAGAAAGAGCTTAAAACCCTAGACAAGTAGCTAAAAGAGAAATTAGAAAAAGGCTAGATACGGAAGTCGATATCCTCGGTAGCTTTACTAGTAATGTTCGTTCTAAAAGCCGGATTAGACGAAGGACGGCTAGTAGTCGATTTTAGACGACTTAACGACATTACAATTAAGAATCGGTACCTACTACCGAATATCGAAGAAATGCAAGACCGATTAACTAGATTAGACTAGTATACGAAGATTAACCTACGCGATACGTTTTACGCAATACGTATAGTAGCTAGATACGAATAGATAATAGCATTCCGAACAAGATATAGGCTTTACGAATTCTTAGTTATGCCTATAGGACTTACAAATGCCCTAGCGTTATATTAAGACCTTATAAACGAAGTCCTCCGAGACCTTCTAGACGTATACGTTATCGCATATATAGACGATATCTTAGTCTATACTAAGGGAGCTCTCGCGGACTATATACGAATAGTGTAGGACGTCTTTGAACGATTTACTTAAGTAGGATTTAAGACTACACCTAAGAAATGCGAATTCTATAAGAAGGAAGTCAAATTCCTAGGATTTATTATTAGTACTATAGGAATTAGGATCGATCTAGAAAAAACTAAGTTAATATAGGAATAGCTAACGCCTACATGCGTTAAAGACGTACAATCATTCCTAGGATTAGCTAACTATAACAGAAAATTTATCGAGGGCTACTCTAAGATAGCGGCACCCCTTACGGAGCTTATAAAGAAAGACAAGCAATAGAACTAGAGCACGAAGGAAGACGAAGCGTTTAGGTAGCTAAAGAAGCAATGCGTTTCTACGCTAACGCTACGATTATTCGATAGGAGTAAGGCGGTCTAGATAGAAACAGACGCGTCGGATAGGGCTATAGGAGTATGCCTTATATAGGAGTATAACGGGAAACGATACCCGGTAGCCTATTACTCGAGAAAGATATTACCCGCGGAATAGAACTACGATATCTATAACAAGGAGCTACTTATAATAGTTGCATTACTATAATACTAGCGAGTATACGCGGAAGGAGCACTAAGTCTTACGATTCTTTCTAATTATAAGAATCTAACTTACTTTACTACGACTAAAGTACTAACCCGAAGATAGGCCCGCTAGTCGGAGCTACTAGGATAGTATAAGTTCGAAATCCGCTATACCCTAGGACGCGAGAACGGACGAGCCGACGTACTAAGCCGCTGTAGCGACTATATAGAGGGTTACGAACTAGTGCAGCAGCAGATATTAAAAGCAAACTAAGACGGAAGCCTTAGTGCTAATATAAAAGAATTCAACTATATTATACGAGTTCTTTAGGATATAGAAGAACAGTTTCTAATCGAACATAGGAAATACTAAGTACCTAAGGAACGAGTTACAGAGTATATACGACAACACTACGACGGACTAGAAAATAGACATACTAGAGTTTCAAAAACAATAGAACTAGTTAAGCGAAGCTTCGGATTCCTATATATGCGACAACGAGTTCTAGAATATATTAAGAAATGTCTATAATGTTAGCGTAACAAGGCTAATAGACACGCTAGATATAGACATATCCAATTTAGGACGCTACTAGATAAACTATAGGACGAAGTTACAATAGACTTTATTACGAAACTACCGAAGTCTAAGGATCCGGTTATAGGACATAGCTACGATATAATACTTGTTATAGTCGATAGGCTTACGAAATATATATACTTTATTCCTGCTAACGAAGCAAGTACGGCAGAGCAACTCGGATACCTCGTACTAGATAGACTTATACGATACTACGGATTTCTAAAGACCTATATTACGGATAGAGACAAGCTCTTTATATTAAACTACTAGAAGACGCTTATAGCGACACTTGGAATTAAGCATAAGCTATTAACGGCATACTATCTATAGACAGACGGCTAAACGGAAGTTAAGAATTAGGCCTTAGAGGTATACTTACGGTACTACGTCAATTACGTATAAAACAATTAGGCATCGCTATTGCCTATAGCATAACTTGCACTAAACAACCAATAATCTAAGACTACGAAAGAGACACTATTCTTCGCTAATTTTAGGAAACATCCGTAGCTATTCGGGGAACAGTATTTACAGTATCTATACGCGGATAAAGCGATAGTCGCTTTAGAAGACTTAAAGCAGGTGCATAAAGAATTGCAAAGGGCAATTACCGAGTCTTAAGAAAAGATTACGGGACTATATAATGCTAAACGAAAAATAGCACCTTAGCTAAAAAAGGGGGATAAGGTCTACCTCCTAACAAAGAATCTAAAAACCCGGAGATCGACTAAGAAACTAGACTACGTTAAAGTCGGGCTATTTTTGATTGATAAGCCTAAAGGACTAGTTAATTACCGACTTAAACTACCGGACGACGCGAAAATCTACCTAGTATTCTATATCTCTATACTAGAACCTATAGACGCCGAAACACCGTATTAAGAAACATTTCACTTCTAACCTAAGGAAGAAAATAAGTTTAAAGTCGAGGAAATCCTAGATTAGCAAGGTTAGAAATACCTTATTAAATAGAAAGGATACCTACATTTAGAAAACACCTAGGAACTAAAAGAAAACCTGCAGAACTATTAGCAGATAATTAAAAAATATTAAAACCGGACAAAAAAGAAATAACTAGTATAGGAATTAAACCTAGCAACTATGTCTTTTGTAGCTAAGAATTATACTACTAGACTAACTAGCTAGAAGATAAAATAGATAGGAAACATTAAAAATACATACCTTTAGGATACTAGACTCTCGGCACTCCTACTAGGGATTTTAGAGACAGGCTAGGATGTCTAATCTAGACGACTCTAGTTATAAGGCGATATCTATAATCGGCTATCTAGGGGAAACGGCTCGTTAGCAGGCAACGAGAATATTATCGGCTCTATAGGCGAAGAGCCTAGCTCTCTTTCGAGCTCCTCCGCCTATTAAATAGAGGCTTCCTCTACCTTAAGAGCTTATATCTCCCGATCCTCCTTTATACGCAGCGACTTGCGTAAGCGACGGACCTTTACGCGATACTCGAAAAGCTTCCGCGTAAGGAGGTCCTCTTCCTCTTCGGCCGCTTCGAGATCTTTAGCTATCTTTAGGCGCGCCTTCCGGATTTTTTTATACTCTATACGAGTAACTTGCATATTATAGGACTAGCCGTATAGGGCGTACTCGGAGCAGCGACTAGAACGAAGATCGACTTTATAGGGTTTACCGGCCTATTCGTAATAGAAGCAGCGGATCGGCATTTCGAGGCAGTCGGCGAGGATATTATTTACGATATTTTCCTTACGCTAGCGAGAAGACAAATCCTTAGATAACTTTAGTATAACAAAGAAGTTGGAATTAGAAAGTCCTAGAATAAGGGACTATTCCGCTTAAGGAGGGGGATAGTATTACGGATCTAATTAGTTAGAGTCCTTATATAATCTTAGAGCGACGCTAAGACTAGTAGGCTAAGCTGTCGCTCTATCTTACTAGGAGCGATAGGAGCGGTCGAGAGCGACAGCGTCGCTTACGTCGCTTACGACTACAGATAAGATATCTCCTTTGTATTTAGAAACGCCGGAATGCCCTTATAGCTCGAGGCGTTTAACTTATATTACCTACTTACTAATTAGAATTACCTTTGTACTAATTATTCTGTCTCTGCCTCCCGCTTGTATTAGCCTCTCTAAAGAAGCCTCGGCTTGTACGTAATAAGAAGTCACTTAACGATCTGTCGCGAGTAACCGTAATAATAATAAAGCGACGCTTCCGTATCTTCGAGAGTGCGCTATAGTATAGTATTCGTATCTAAATAGCGATAGTTTACGCTGCTACCGCCTTTTATAATATCCTTTAAGAAATAGGCGCGAGGGTAGAATCGATAGATTTAGAGCCGGATTAGACGAACGATAGGCTATTTAATAATGCCGTTGCCGCTACGGAAGAAGATAATAAGGTTAAAGGTCTAATAGATAGGATAAGAGATAATATAGCGATAGAAATGTAGCGATAATATCTATAATAGTTAGAAGATTACGAAATTAAGGATTAATTATAGGCTTGCAAAAGTCCTAGATACTGCGTTTAATAGAAATGTTAAGAATCTTTCCTCTAACCGGAGACCCCTCTATTTAGTAAGGTTTCTTATGTTTCTAGTTAAATGCTCGACCTCCTGCTATTCTCGGAAAATTCATATATTATAACTTCTAACTAAGAAACTTGCTTTTATAACAGAATCTCTAGATTACGTGTCTGCCTAACAAACCCTTACTAAAAGCTATTAATCTAGAGGACATTAAAAAAAGCTATATTCGAGAATAGCTAACAAATCTAGTACTAATCTAAGGACCAAAAGTTAGTATTCTAACTTAGGACAACAATTTAAACTCTTCTAAGTACTTATTAAACAACGCTATTGCTATCGCCTACTGCGTATCTAGAGGCGCGCCGAGAAAGATATTAACTATATCGCTATCGTCCGCCGTTATTACCTTGCGATAAAGCAATCTCTTCTGCCTTAAAGTTAGGTCCTAAAGCTCCTTATACCTAGCGACGAAATCCGCCGAGAATATTAGTCGCGATAACGTACGACCTAGCGGTAGCGGTATAGCTATTAACTCCGCTATTTTATATATCGTACTAATAAGTCCTTCGACCGTTCTATAGATCTTATTCTAACCGTCTAAGCGGCGACGTTTAGCCTCTATATTAGCATCGTAGATTACTCGCTTTTTCGCTTAAATATCGTCCTTCGGCTTCGGTATTTCCGCCTTACCCTCGATCGCTATAATAGGTGTCTTAGGTATAGGAATTAGACTATTTAGTATCGCGTCGATCGATATAATATACTCTCTAGTAGCAGTTGTGTCGCTAAACAACTAATCTAGCTTAACGAGGAAGAGAAGGGGTTTCTTTAAGAACTTCTTAGCGCGAGGGTAGATAGCGATATAGGCCTTTATAACGTCGTCCGGAGCGGTTAAATAACTATTGTTTAGATTAATACCGAAGCTAGATTAAGCTAGCATCTTATACTACATCTTCTAGTCGGCTTTAAGTATAGTAAGCTTATTCTTTACGAAAGTAGTAGTAATACGAGACTTCCGCTAGGCTTATATAATAATAAGGTTTACTACTATTGCTACTACGATAAATAGGCCCTTCTTAAAGCTAGAATCCGCCCTCTCGCTATAGTTCTCGTACCTATCGATAGCACTATTTATAAGATACTATATCTCGGCCTTATTAAACCGGAAGCTAACCTTATTACTAGCGATAACTAGCCGTAGATTAAGTGCCGCTAAGAGCTTATCTAGTGTCTCTAGGTCCTATTGTGTATCCGGCAATTACGAGTAGCCTAGCGGAGGTTCTAGCTAAGAGTATTAAGACATATCGAATGCTTAAGAAGCTATTATTTACTAATAGATTTGCTAGGTAAACGATAAACTTCGAGTAGCCGGAGATAGAGGCATCTCTTCTATTAAACTAGCTGCTAAGCGATTATTATTAATCTATACTAACAACGACTAAGCTGAAGTCTACGGAAGTTACGAGATCCGCTAAGATACGCCTTAGGCGCTATCTACCGAGATTGCGACGACACGATAACCGTATAGAAGACACGAGTCGTTATCCTATTCACTTACCGTAGCGGCCGCTAATATATTGGGTTATATGCTAATAAGCGCCACGATATTCTACATTGGATTGCGGACAAGACAGGCTCTAGCTACCGTGTCTCGTTCACCCAGAGTGAAATCTCACGACCTCTCAAACTTTTGCATATCGTAAAGACGGTACTCACGTGCTACAATAACGGTGAGTGATACATACACAAATCAAACTTCCTGATGATGAGAGCAGACAACCATCTTCATCATTATGGATGCTCCCACTGCGGACATATGGCATGGATTGCAGACAAGGGCATAATCAACAGCCGATTTGGGCCGAGTGTAGTCAGAGAAACTTAAGAAGGCGAATCGACCAGGAACAACGCTACAAAATAGGGCAATGGACCATGAACTATGCCTGTCCTTGAAGCGGTCGAGAAGTGGTGTTGTGCATCCAACCCTCGCTCTTCTTATTTCCCGCTAGATTCCCTGTCGCACGTGTAACATGGATCATGAGGAGGCATTATCCTGGAAGCAGCCAGGAATGAGTGGGGTCGATTTTCCACACAAGCCTGCGTGCCAACCAGCATTATCCAGGACCATTGATGGATTGGGGAAAGCGCTCTCCGACACCACCTGCAACCTCACACGTCTTGTTGTGCTTGGTCTTGTTTGATGATGATGCTGCTGCTGCTTTCGACTTCCGCATGGGAAACGGAGCAGTCGCTAATGCTCGCTATCCATAATGAGTCTTACCTTACCCTAGGTCCGGGCTGACGATGGTGAACACGGCTGCATATTGGTTTGCAAGGCCGTGGAGATCTCATGCAGACAACACTGCAAGCCAGTAGGTAATACTGCAGTGCTATGATTGCTGCAAACTTTGATCGAACAAGGCAACATTATTGATACAACGTCAGGTCGGTCATCTCAAGGCAGAGTGCCGGCCACCTTGCGCGGGGACTCTCATACAATCTCAGGCAACTCGTTCGCTCCGCTCCACTTCCTCGCGTTCGAGCTCTGAGCTCTCTTGCTCGTCACGGCCAACACCACCCTCGAGCTTCGTAATTGAATGCTTGCTAATACTCAACATGACGTCTTGTGAGTGGCACCGATTTACAGTGTCAAGGGCCAAGATGTCGTTCGTTCGGTGTCGTTCTTCGTGACGTGACGTACCGTCAGACCAACAACTCCGTGTCCTGACTCGCAGTAGTCCACCGTTTCATATGACAGAAACTTTCGAACCAAAAGCGCGGTACTATCGGCACGCAGATCCTTTCAAGCCTCAAGCGAACGAGCCGGTACTGTAGGTTTCTCTTCCGAAGCTCAATGAAAGTAGCGCCACTACCAATCACTGTCCCGCCTGTCTCTTCAAGAGGCGCACATATAGCGCTGATCGGTCTAAGCTTATTATTACTGTATTCCTTGGGATAGGGAGCAGCCCATAGGGTAGAAACCATAGCGGAGAAATCGCTACTGATATCGCTGTCGCCGACTCGCTCCCTCGAGCTACTACTTCAAATCCTTATATATAATGAACACCGCGTGATTAATATTGTAGTTGACATTGTGATACATAACTGTGATCGTGAGATCTCGAGATTCTATGGCCCATGCAAACTCGCGAAAACAAAAAAAAAAACATTCGTGCCAGGGGTATCTCAGCGCACCACAAGTCCATAGCTTACACAAGAAAATTCTGCGCCACGTTCTCGCAATATGCTTCGCAAAGGGGTATCAAGAAGTACAAAGTTGCAAAGAGGATGTCCGCTGCAGGTTGCGCAAGAAAGACGCACAAATCCTGCCCAACGTAAAATGTCTAGGAGATGTATATTCCAGATAATCAGAAATGTCCAAGCTAGTTAATGTTCCCGTCGTACTGTTCGCGTCAAGCACATTGTGGCTAAGTTTGTTGGCCGATGATCAACGTGAATCTTTCGGATGACCGGGACCTCGTCGATCGGCATATGGGTTCCATGGGCCTGTTTGAGGAGAAGCTTGCATCAGCTGGTGCGCTCCTGGAGGTGCTTGTGCAGATGTCGGTGTCGGGAGAGGTCCTCGTATCGAAGGCGACGGCATTGGTCCCGAAGCCTGGTGGACTGCTGCTGGCTGTGGCAGCGGTTGAAGGGGGTGGCCGTAACCCTGCGGAGCGTAGCCTGATTGATATGCTGTCCCTGGGGGTGGAAGTGGATGGTTGGATGCCTGTGGTGGGGGTGGAAGTGATAGTGTAGATGTCCTTCTCCTCACGTTTCTACCTTCATCTGGACTCCGTCCGCCCTGATCCTGCATCGTCATGTAGTCGGCATTTCTGTTTGAACCCATGTAGCCGGAGCTTCTCCGATGACGAGGAGATTGAGGTCGCGGAAAATGACGGTCGCCACCAGGTACCTGTAGAACTACGCCGGCCATATAGTCCCTTTCCCTTTTGTAGAAGTCCATGTCTTCGCTAAGCTCTTTCACTTGCAGCTCCAGTCGCGATATTGTCGACGAAGCTTCCTTTTCCTTCTCCTTACGTCTCTGCCGAAAACGTGCACTGGCGCCCGCATTCCGTCTGCGTTTCTCGTCTGCAACTCGCGACGCTGCTTGTACATCCACAGGTAGCTGGACAGTGCCCGATGTCGTCTCCAAAGTCATCATCTGATAGACATTCTGCCCTCCTGATGCGGATATCGGTACTCCAACGGCTCGCTGCCGATCTGGACCTATGGAGGTTGGGGCACTTGTAGCACCGGAACTCAAATGCTCCGCCCCTTCAGGATATGCAGAAGACAGAGTGGGCATCGACGCGGATGCATAAGTTGCAGCTGGTGAAGTTAGACCTGCTTGACTGTATGACGAATAAGACGAACGAGGACTAGTGCTCTCTGAGGTCGGTCTTCCTGGTCGATTTATGCTGCTCCCGCTTGCTCGCTGTGACATGGGAGGTAAGTGAGCAGACTGGGCAGGTGTAGGAAATCCGTAGCTCGGACGCATAGCTGCAGGCGGAGTTGGCAAAGGTGGTGCGCCTGCAGTTCCAGGCTCAATGGCATAGCTTCGACTCCGTGGTGAGAGAAGAAATGGGGCTTGCTGAGCACTAAAAGTCGGATACGGTGAAGGGTTGGAGAGCTGATTCAAGCTGGCTGCACGATGTAGTGATGGCGACCTTGGGGTCAGGATTCTGCGTGGCGCTCTCTCGCCGGAGTAGGAGGTGACTGGTTGCATGGATGAGGGCGTCGGAGTTGCACGAGCTGATTGAGTGACTTGATGCTGAGTACCCAAAGGTGGCAGTATCGGCAAAGAAGCGTGCGGTGATTCGAGCTGAGAGGCCTTGCGCCTGCGACTTGAGAAGCTGTCATCCCCATCGGTGGGGTTTAGTATGGACGCTACGCCCACCGACCTAGAGGCTGTAGAGGCTGGAGGAAAGCTGCCACCCGAGGCACTTGGGGCCTGGGGCAGTGGTGGTAGCTCCATGGTCCTGCCATTGCCCGTTGGAGGTCGATGGAGTGCTGGCGACGTTGTGCTGGGCGTGGTGGTCACGGTTCGAGGGCCATAGTGATCAGAAAGCGAAGCAGGAGGGTACTGTTGAGCGCGCTGCTGTGCGTCGTTGGCACTGGCAATCGAAGTATCCGGAGGACGCTGGTCTCTGGGCCGATCGGACATGAAATCCTTGCCTGGACTACCTGCGTACTCCCGTGGGTTGGACCATGAATTCGAGGGCTGGTCCGCCGTTGGAGGGTCCGGAGAAGGTGGTCGGGCGGAGCACAGCGGGCTGTCGTGCTTCTGCGGAGTGTGCTGAGCGGACACGGACACGGGAGGAGCTGCGTGGGCGTGGTAGGCAAAAGGACCCCGGTAGTGACTGTGAAAGCGATGGACGTCCGTGGCAGCCACGTTGGCGGATGACGTGGGACGCCGAGACGTCCCGGATGGGGAGCAAGCGTCCTATATGGTGTTCGCGAGGCAGAGGCAGAGGCACGGCTGCAGCGCTGCGGAGCGAGGGCAGTCGCGCAGGTGCAGTGGTTGGGCGAGAGGCGCTGGTTGATCCCGCGCACACGCTACGACCAGGTGAGCAGCACGCTCATAGCAGCGAAAGGAGCCACGCGTGGCCGTGAGCAGAGACGTCGAGCCCAGAGTGGCGGATGGCGGATGGCGGATGGCGGATGGCGGATGGCGAGCTGAGGGCGGGCGGCTGCGCGCTGGTTGTACTGTAGTGGGCTGTAGTGGAGGGAGCAAAGGCGCAATGCAGAGGCCAGGCCTCGATCAGCCGGCTGATGAGATTAGCGATGGTGAGGAGGGCGAGGATGACTTGGCGGCGTGGCAGACGGGGCCCAATTCAATACGAGCGGTCAGGTGTGTGCGGGCCTATGGCATCGAGCGACAGGACTGGAGAAGCAGAGAGCCTGGCCTGGCCGCGATCAGGGCGTGACGAGAGATATAGGCGGTGACAACACTATGAACGGGCCTCCTGCGCTGGGCCGCACGCGCACCAGCATGAGCACGCGCACCAGCACCAGCAAGACATGTCTGCCGCGCTGCCTCTGCCTCTGCCTCTGCCAGGCGACCTGAACGTTATTAGTGCGAGCGAGCCTGCGCCTGCGAGGTGCGGTGCGCCGGGTGCGGTGCATCATCGCGCGCAGGCCCATGCTATGCCATGCCATGCCATGCCATGCTATGCCCCATGCCATGCCATGCCCCAGGCCCGGCCCCCAGGCTGCTTCTCTGCGGAGCCTGAGTCGGATTCTGCGCTACGCCCAGCCTGTCCGCCATCTGCCATCTGCCATCTGCCATCTGCACATCTGCACCGGCAACGGCTTGCGGAAGCGGAAGTGACTTCGCAGAGGAGCCGGCCCGCGGCGCCGGGAGCCACGACTGGGTGGGTGCTGTGCTGCGTGCTGCGTGCTGCGTGCTGCGTGCTGCTGCGATCCTCTCCCAGAGCCAGAGCCAGAGCCAGAGCCAGAGCCTACGAACGGCAAGCGCAAGCAACCCGGATGCACTACTGTAGCGTTTGATGAGCAGGCCGTCAACCTACGCACTTGACGTGAAGGCTAGTCGAAGCCTAGTATGTCCGCGCCAGGCTCGCCCGGTTTCGCGCAAACCCACTCCTCTGGTCCAGGTACCTTCGATACAAGCCGTCGGTGCAGCTGCAGGCCCGCGGCACGGCTGTACGAAGCATCGGCGCGGCGCCTTGCCGGCTGGCGGTCGCCCTGACCTGCGCTAGGCCATCCTGGGGCCACGCGCTTGGGTGAACGGCGAGCGGCGACGAGGATCACCTGGGCGGACGAGATGATGTGATTATAGTCATACCTCACGCTGCATACATGTATGTATTATTGGAGAAGCCTGTCGTCTAGCCCGTCTGTCCAATTATCCCTCCGTCCTGGCCGTCCATCCACATGGCCTGAACCAACAGACAGAGCCAACACCACGTCCGCAGAAGGACGCTGCACTTAACATGACGCCCTGTGACGAAGACTACTCCGTACACCGCACAGCTAGTGCACACGGCACTTGTTCGACTCGGCGCCGCGCCCATCGATTTCATGCAGCCGTTGTTGTCCTCATCAAAGTGTGCGTATGGATGCGCGCCGTCGTAGGCCTCCCGAAACACGCGCTGGCATACGCTATCGCTCCCTCGCTCACTCCTTCACGATGCCTCCATCGCTTGCACGCTTCTGCAACCTGCACAACGCGTCTGTCGCCTCGCCTCGGGGCCGCAGGAGAGCACCACGACCACGATGCACGCAGAATCACGCCCAGCACTGACGGCACTCGCAGCACAGCGAAGATTATTGCCCAATAATGTGCTGCTGATGACTTGCACCGTCCCTTTCCCTTTCCCTTTCCCGTCGTCGCCGCCTGCAGATCACGATGTTGGGCCCTTGCCAAAGTCGCCATCGTCTTTGCGAGATTGGCTGTTGGCGCCTGCGACATCCCAGCACACCTTAAGACCCGATCGAGCGGATCAAGTTGAGAACCTTCGCTTCTGTCACGGCTTTTTCGTGGCGCTGGCGCTGCCGTTTCTCACCTCTCACCTCACACCTCACACCTTTCCCTTCCCTTCCCTTCCCTTCCCGCCCGCTAGCTCTGACGCTGCACCAATGGCCCAACCTTGCGCGCAGGCGGAGCAGGTCAAGTGATGCAGGCTGCATTCGCCCGCCAGCGCATGCCCGACCCTCAGACGAAATCTTGCGCCTTCCATTGGCTGCGCACCCCGATATTTCGTGACGTGCACCTATCACAAATCGTTGCATGCGGTGCCAGCGCAGTCCTTTAGCTTCATGCACGCTGCAGGCGATGGAACAGAAGAAGCAACAGTACAGCCTACGACAGCGCCCGCCACGGCATACACGCGCGCGCCCGCTTATCATTCCCCTGATGCTCTTGCCAATTACCGAATTCGATGCTCGTGCAGCCTCGAGAGCGGCGCTACGAAAAGCCTTATTTCGAACCTTTATCTAACCCGCTCCCTTCTAGAAGCCTTACATAGAACTATACTACGTGCGTATAGCAGACGACAAATCTTAACCTAAACTCTAGCCTATATATAGGGAATAGCTAACTCTAATAATAAGAACTAGACTAACTAATAGTTATACTAACCTCCTACGTCTCTAGCTAATAGGCTATCCTAAATACCTAGTTCGTCCTTTATAGAGTTCGTAAGGCTCTAATATCTACTTTATATAAGAGCCTAGTATATCCGAAATAGGGAGCCTATATAGTAGTCTATCTACTCTATCTAAAGTACTATTTACTATTTTGCTCCTATATTACTATTAAACCTTTAGTAGCTTAGCGACGGCTCTCGACGCGTTTACCCCTTTAGGTTAGTTATAGTTCTTATCTATTAGTAGATATATACCTATAGAGTTATAAACGTTAGGAGCTTTTTATTCTAAATAAATAATAGAAGATACTATAGTATTATAGTTAGCTCGTAAAGTAGAGGTTTTCGCTAATAACGCGCTATCTACTACGTAGAACTAGCTAAATTAGTACTACCTAGGGCTAGTAGGTTTAATACTACTAAGGTACCTTTATAGTAACGAGTATCGACCTCCTTCCTTAGTATATCTATATATTAATAATAATATATATAATACTATTAGACAAACGTAGAAATAGAAGCGCTATTATTAATACTATAATAGGGGTTATATTAGTAGGTAGATAGGGTAGTAGTAGGTATAGGTAGTATTCGATAGAGATCTAGGAGGAGAAGGAGGAAGGCTAGCTAGTTAGCCTAACGCTAAGCGCTAAGTCCTACCTAAGGTACTAAGACCCTAGCTTTACTTAGCCTAGTTATATACTAATTATATATAGCCTCTTTAGCCCTAATATACGCTTCTCTTCTAAAGGCCGCGCCCTCGTAGCCTATCTATATTCTACGACCTCTATTGCTACTAACTTAGCAAGTCTAATAAGCTACTTAGCCTGCGCTAAATTAAACACTTAACTACCTAATTATATAACTATATTAAACCTTACCTTCTAATATAATATCTAACTCTAACTACGCTATCCCTATATATAATAACCTATAAAGTAATATATATCTATAAGAATTAAGGGCTATCGACTAATTATAATACGAGCGCGTTTTCCCTACTATAATAGGTAGACGTACGAGGTATTGTAGTACTACCTCCGTTCTAAGTAATATCGTACCGAGTTCTTTACGTCTACTCTTAAAAGACCTAGAAATGTCCGCTCCGAGAGTTGTTCTTATTATTATAAGAGCTATTATTTACTATCGTAGTTTTACTAGCCCTAATTAGTTAGGTTTAGCAGCCTTTAATTGTTAATCTTATCTTATCTTTTCAAAAACGCAGTTCGTCTAGTTTCTATAAGTAAAGGCTATTATAAGTGTAATAGTTAAGGTTCGCCTCGCTTAAAGGGTCGGAAAGATTAAGGAGTAAGCTATTATCCGTAAAATCGACCCCGGCTAGCTTAGCTCTATATTTTTGCCCTTAGTTAGTTAGTCTATTAAACTACTCTATCCTTTAAGCCTTAATATTTTAACTTAGCCTTAAAGTTTTAATTAAACCTTTAATATAGCTATTCTTTTAACTTAATTAGTATAGTACGCTTCCGCCCCTAGGCTATAGTATAAGTAAGGTTATTCCTATAGGTATAGTAATAATAGTAGGTAAGGTTAGTAATAGTAGCGAGTAGGTAATGTTAATAATAGCGGCGCTAGTCGTCTTAGCGCTAACTTTACCTTGCTTCTAATTTCCTTCTTCGACTAGTAACGCTTTAACTAGTAACATACTCTATAATACCGTTACTAATATAGCCGCGCCGTCTTTCTATATAAGCGCGACGCCGTCGTTATTATTATTATTACTATTTACGCGTACGCGCGGCGCCCTCGCTAATCGCTTAGGCCTCGAGGCTCCGATAGAATAAAGGAATAAAAGGGGGACCTATAGGGCGTATTAGTAAAGAGGTAGAATCCTTAAAAGAGTAGGCGATTAGTTAATAGTTATAGCGCGCTTATTAACTCTCGGTGCGCGTTCGCTATTATAGTATAGTCTCGTTGTCCTTTATTAACAATTGCTCGCCTCTAATTAGTTAGCTTAATAGCACCCTAGGGATAGTATTAGCCCTAGGTCTCTCTAGCGGTTCTAGCGATACTATAGGCCCTTAGCCTTCTTCTTGTTCTTTATATTAGTCTAATACTCGTCTAATAACTTAGTTATATCCTTAAAAGAGTCTTTAGCCTCCTGCGAGTCCTATTTAGGCGAATAGCCTTACTATCTTAGGAGGTACTCCTTCTTGCCTTACCTAGTCCGATGCTTTAGTATACGCTCTATAGACTATAGCTCTTCGCTATTAGCTAAGACTTCTTCTAATTTAGTAGGTACTTTATCGCCTTCGCGCTAGTAGTATAGTTTAAGGAGGGATATATAGAAGGTATTATAGATAGTATAATAAGGAGGAAGCTATAGCTAGTAGGCCTGTATACCCTTAGCCTCTCGGATGCGGAATAGGCCGATATATCTTAGTGCGAGCTTAGGCCTTGTTTTGCTATTAGATAATAGGTATTTACGGATGCGGAGGTTCTTTGTACTAAGTATAACTATATCGCCTTGTTTAAAGGTTATCGGTATATAGCGCTTATCGTAGCAGGTCTTTTAATACTCTTAAGCCTTTATTAGCTTCTTAGCTATCTTAGTATAGATTTCTCGTATCTTCTAGACACGTTCTATCGCCGCTAGTGTCTCTAGTACTTAACGCGCTTCCCTTTCCTTATGCTCGGCCTCGAGCGAGGTAAATAGATCTTATAGTAACGTAGCGTTTTAGCCTATTATAGCTATATACAGCGAAACCTTAGTTAATGAGTGTATACTGTTATTGTATACAAATTCCGTAGGCTATAGGAGGTTAACCCAATCCTCGGGGTTCTTATTAATATAGCTATATAGGTACTGCTATAGGGTAGCATTCTGCCTCTCTATTTAACCGTAAGTCTACAGATAGAAGGCTATTAATAGCCGATGCTTTAGTCTTAGCTATAGGTATATCTCGCTCTAATAATACGATATTAGTATCGATCTACGATTAGATACTATCCCCTTAGGGGTTCCCTAATAGGTATAGAAGATATTATTCTATAGCGCTTCTACTACATTAATAGCAGTCTAATCTTTCCGCGCCGGGATATATCGAGCGCCTTTAGTAAATCGATCTACTATAATAAGGATAGCATTATATATATCCTTGCTACTACTACGCTTAGTAGGAGGAAGGCCTATAATAAAGTCTATTATAAGTTCTACGAATAGCTTCCTAGGAACAGGAAGTAAAGACAACTCGCTAAATAGTAGGTGCTTTAGTGCTTTAATACGCTAGTATACTACGTAGCTCTATACGTATTCTTTTATATACCGTTTACTATTCGGCTAGTAGTATATACGCGATAGTAGCTCGTGCGACCTCTCTATACTATAGTAACTAGCAAGCTTACTATTATAGTATCGCTTTAAAAGCTCTTATCTAATCGATTGTTTAGCGGGGATATAGTATCTGCCCTTAAACTTTAAGTAACCCTTATCGTCGATCGACTAACTATTACTCTTACTAGATCAAGTCGCTCGTCTACTTACAAGCCTATTAATACGTTTAATAGCAAAGGCGTCCCTCTACTAAGTACGTAACAGCTTATCTACAAACGATTAACTATCCCTATTTACAAGGTTATTTAATAGCACCCTTGCTATTAAACGAGGTACGTATTATATATATGTAATAGTACTAGTAGCCGGAACTACTATAATCTCTTTTATAGTACTATCGCTATAGATAGCAATATCTTTAATCGAGTTACTATAGCTCGAGCGATCTACGTCCTTTCTAACGCATACTAGAAGAACGACAACTCCGCTATAGTATTTATTGCTACCGCGGGGTCCGGAAGTCCGCTTATTCTACGCTTGCTTATTAATAATACAGGCTATAGCAATCTTATACTATAGGGTTAGAAACAATAAATTAATAGATTGCTAAGTCTCGCTATTGTAATTAGGCCGCCTCGATAGGCTATTAGTAGGGTTGCTTACGCCTAGCCGATATAATATATTAAAATCGAACCTAGCGAGGTAGACGGCCTATCTAGCCTGTCGACCTATAACCCTTATAACCTTAGTAATTCTACGGAGGTTGTTATAGTCCGTATAGACCTAAATAGTGTACTATATACTATCGAGATAGTAGCGCTAGTACTTAAAGGCTTCTACGATTGCTAAGAGCTCTTACTCGTAGGTCTCGTAACGACGCTCTATATCGATTATCTTTCGTAAGAAGAAGGCAATTAGGTGCTAGTAGGTATTATTAGCCTACTATAATATAATAGCTAATATAGCGAACTAGGAAGCGTTAGTTTTAATATAGATCTACCTACTTAGTACAAAATAGTATAATAGGGGGACTTTAGTAAAGCGTTGCTTTAAACCGTTAAAAGCGGCTTATACTCTATTAGTCTATTTAAACTCTCTAGAAGGGTTTGCCTTAGTCTTAGTAAGTTTAGTAAGTAGCATTATATGCCTCGAATAGCCCTTAATAAAGCGGCGGTAAAAGTTAGCAAAACCTAGGAATAATTAAAGCTCCTTAACACTAGTAGGGGTTAGCTATTTAGTAATTGTTTTAATCCGGTTAGGATTAGCCTTAACACTATTAGTTAATACGAGGAAGCCGAGGAATAATACCTCTTTAGTAGCAAAGGTGTATTTAGAAGGCTTATAATATAAGCTATAGGTCCTTAGGCGATCGAGCACCTTATAGACTATAGCCTAGTACTCCGCAATATTAGGTAAGTGTATATAGACTAGGATGTTATCTAGGTAAACTATATAGAGGTAATCTAATAGGCCTAAT